TACGACTCAAATTATGCCAAACTACCCAGTTTTGTAAAAATCGCATGAGTAGTTTTTAAAAAATGAGCTCTCAAAATTTTAGCTCTTCAATGTTAATTCAGTTTGGTATATATTTATTAAACTTATTTGATTCTTCTTTTCACATTTTGAAATGTAGGTTGATTTCAAATAAAATTCACCCAGTTTTTATGATTTATTTTTAAATAATTTTTATACATTTTTCAAAAAAATTGTGAATTATAATTTATAAGAATCTTACCATCATCTTAAAGTAGACATATTTATGTATTTCTAAGCAATCCTGCAAAAAATTAGTTTTTTTAATTCAAAACTTCCAAAGAAGATATACGTGAATTTAGATATTGGCCAGTTTTGAAATTTGGCATATTTGTTGAAAGCGATAAAACATAAAAAGTGATTTAGACACTTTGCTAAAATTATTTGGAAGTAGAAACGATGTGCCTTTTTTCCCTCTCATGTACAATGTAAAAAGGTAGGAACGAGGTGCCTTTTTTTTTCTGCTCCATTATAACGGAAGGTTAAGGAAAATTGGTAGCCACATATTAAGAAGTTAAAAAAATTTCGCCAAGATAAATTTTTGAATTTGTAAATAAACTTTGCACCAAATTTTACAAAATTTAATATCTAGGCATAATTTGAGTCATAGAATTGAAATATGGAGAAAAATTGGTATGTTATTTCAGAAAAAGTCCGATTTTGTGTCAAAATACCTATGTTAGAACAATGCTATATATAAATCTAATATACAGTGCAAAGTCCGAAATCTGGACGTCCATTATACGCAATGATTTAAAACCTGGACCTCAATGCCACAAAAAAATTTTTTATTGATGCTTTATGCATGCACATTTGACTTTTTCTTCCAAAATAAAACGTGTGGAGATTTTCACTTAAAAATTCTGATTCTTAATTTCACTTAGGCACTAAATAAAATACCTCGTTATGGAAAAACAATCACGTAAGCATAAATTTATGAGATTAATAATTTGGCTCCATAGACTATCTACTTGGCATACATCTCAAACGGAAACATTCACCTATTTTATATCCCTGACGCCGACCTGGCAAGTCATAATTTATTATACAGTCAAAAGTCGTTAATCCGGATTCTTTGGGACTTCGGCGATTCTGGACTATCGATTTTTCCGGATTATAGATCATCAGTTTAAATCTGGTAAGATGGCATGCAGAAATTACAAAATTAAAAATATGAAACCGTAATTTATGAAAGAAAGAAAAAGAACAATTATGATCTAAAGGGTATCAAAATTTACAAAAAGAAAAAGCTTAACATTTATTTGTTTACTTTATTAAACATTTCTTTCAATGTAAGTTGCTTCGTTTTATGTGATAATACTTTCTCTTTAATTCTATTAAACAGACATAATTTCTTGTTTGTGCTCATGTGACCAGTCCGGCCAAAAGAACCACGAAACCAACAAAACTTGGCAAAATGCCAATAAAAGCTGAATATTTCCTTTCATTTCCTCCAGGCTGAGTAAAACAAATCGTACTGACAAATTCTGCTTCGCCCAAGTTTTCTCGGGATAATAATTAACTGCAAAGTATATGAACCCAGGATAATCAGGCAAGCGGTTAAACAACTTACACTGAAAGAAATGTTTAATAAAGTAAAGAAATAAATATTAAGCTTTCTTTTCTAAATTTTGATACCCTTTAGATAATAATTGTTCTTTACTTCATAAATTTCGATTTCATATTTTTATTTGTATAATTTCTGCATGCCATCTTACCAGATTTAAATTGATGATCTACTATCTGGAAAAATCGCGATTCCGGTATCGCCGAAGTCCCGACCAGTCTGGATTTCAGACTTTGTACAGTATATCCTAACTCACACTTCGAAACACGAAAAATGCAATTTGAATTTTGTCAATTGGCCCAGTAAAACAGAAGATATAGAACTTTCCCTTTTCTTCCCCCGCAGTGTATGTATGAATGCACACGTGTTCTTGAATCTGATCTCGAAAACTGAAAAGTACCAAAAATTGTGAAGCAATTGAAAATGTGTAGAATAAGCAAAATATTTTAGTATTTGATAAATAAGTCAGAAATGTATGACAGTATTAACTTTAAAATGTTGAAAGAGTATTTTCTGTTATGAATTGTATATAACTAAAAAAGAAACTTATAATAACCAGTGAGAAACTAAAAGTTAAACGGTTAGAATATATTTAAAGGTGCCCCCTTGGATTATCGCTAAGTCGTTGCTTCATTTATGGTAACTTGAGTAGTCGAATGTTATAGAAACCCTATTATGACGTAATTAGTTGCATGATTTCGGTGAATTTGAAAGATCGGAAAGGATTTGTAATAGATTTGTGTGTTGGATGTTGGTTAGGAAGTCCGCTGGTTAATTAGTAGTCTACATGGTAAAATGACTGAATGTGACAAGATTAATTTGAAGTTTCTGTATGATTTGGAATGAAAGCATTAATTGACTGGTGTGTAAATGAAGGTTTACTTAGTAGCCATTATAAGTGCCTTGTTTGTATGAAGGAAAGCATATAGTCAAACAGATGATACCGGCACTACGGAGGATATTTTTGACTCTTACTTCTGTGAATTTATGTGGCGACGCCAGTATACAGATTCTAGTTTAGATACTTTTAGAAAGTTTTTGGATACTGTTAAGAAATTGTGTTTTGACTGAAGACACAGAAATTTCTAAATAAGGTAAGTGGATATTTCCTTTGTGTAGTGCTAAAATGAATTTCCTTTTGTATGTTATTTCATTGTTTTGATTTAAAATGTAGTTTATTGAGATTATATACTTTTTATTTGGCTCTAGTATAGAATTGGCTGCTTCTTTGACTTCTTAAGTGAAAATAGATCTATGTGTACATGGACAAAGTCAAGGGATTGTGCAATGCCAAGTTTGTGCAATTCTTTGTATAGTGAACTTCTTATTTTGGCTTTGTGTAGCGGCCATTACACAAAGCCAAAATAACAAGTCAAAGAAGTGAACAAACTCGGTGTCCACGTACCGCCAAAAATCACCAATTTTTGCCAAGAAGCCTCTGTAAATTTATTTTTAGCAGTTAACTAAATGGTATTATGAAATTGGTAAAAGTATAGTTTAGGGTACCCCTTGGCGATTTTTGGCGGTACATGGATACCGATTTTGTGCAATTCTTTGACTCGTTATTTTGGCTTGCGAAGCGGTGATTTTTGCGCCACAAATCAACGCTACACAAAGCCAAAATAACAAGACAAACAATTGGACAAACTCGGTATCCATGTACACAGACTTATTTTCACTTAATTTTAAAAAAAAAAAAAAAAAAAAAAACACGAATTGCACAAAAATGGTATTGCGCACTCCTTCGACTTTATCCATGTACACGTCGACATATTTTCACTTTAAAAAAAAAAAAATCCCCGAATTGCACAAAAATGGCATTGCACACTCTTTTAACTTTATCCATGTACACGTCTACCTATTTTCACTCAAAAAAAAAAGAAAAAATTCCAGAATTGCACAAACTTGCATTGCGCACTCCCTTTACTTTGTCCGTGTACACATCGATATATTTTCACTTAAAAAGTCAATGGAGCACCAAAGTCTACAATATAGGCAAATAAAAAATGCATAATCTCAATAAAATACATTTAAAACTAAACAATAAAATAACGTAAAAAAAGGAAAAACATGTTATACATTCAAGCACTACCAAAAGCAAATATTCACTTACCATGATTTTCAAATTCACTTCGTACAACCAGAGCCACGTAAAAATCAAAATATCAATCATACTCAAATGACTTTTTTCAAACCAGGTACTCTTTCTGATCGAACGCTTCACATAGTGACCATCTGAACCTTTCTTCCTAAAAACTCAAATCCATCATTCTATCCATCTAAACGGTTTTAACACACACCACAAAAACGCTTACAAAATATCCCAGAATCATGCTCCCCGATTACGTCACAATAGGGTTTCCATAACATTCAATTACTCAGGCTACCATAAATGAAACAACTACTTGGCGATAAATCAAACAACTTCGCCATAATACAAGGGGTACCTTAAAGTCTACTCTAATAAAGAAATTGTGCCATTGAAATGCAGGAAGTAGAAAGACAAAAATGCTGTTACAAAAAATAATAGTAAGCTTAACATGTTTTATATCACACATTTTCTCTCATCTTTCTTTGTTACGCTTTGGACTCATCCTTTCTTATTCAAGCTTCTGTTTTTGAAACATGTAGGTATGTTTAACTTTTCGTACTTCTCAGACCACAAGCCCATTATTCTTGCTCAGGCCTGACAGAAAACTCTTGATTCAGATCTCAAAATTTACTGTCACTGCCTAAAAATTATTTCTAGCACATGGACATTTCATTCTAAAGCTAAAGAACTATTAATACGGTGTACTGCAGTGGGTAATCATATTTTCTGATGACAGCGAATAATTCATGATCATAGATAGAATTAATCACCCTCACGAGAATATATGATTGCATACTTACTGCCGTACATAGTGTAACTGACAGAGTATACAAAAATGAATTACATCGAATTACTAACAAAAATTAATGCTTCTTGCCAAATCATAGTTGTATTTTCATTACCCTGCATTTAATACTGGATCATTCTGGGAGAAATATTGGGAGGAGAGACACAAAATAAATTTATAGGTTATACTGTCAACTCTCCTTTTCTGTATCATCTTTGTTTGTTTTGCTTACAGTTGCCATTGGAATTCGCCATTAAGGGTGGGGGGAACTACCATCCGGGACTGAATACGAATAGCCTTAAATATAACCATTTCTGCAAGTATATTAATGTATATTAAAGTTAATCTTTGCATGATCTAATAATGCAATATATATTTTTAATGAAGAACATTCATCATATTTTTTTTTACAAAAGGGAAACACAATCACTGAGCCCCTGAAAAGAATACCAATTTAACTGTAACTTTAATCGTTTAGTTCAAAATGTCGTTGGTGGTAAATTTAAAACAGTTGCGATCGTTATTTGTTTGAAAAGGTGGTATGTACTTTGTTTGTTGATACTGAGTATCTTTTTTCCTCAATACGAAAATTTGCAACTATTTACGGCGAATTTTATCGGCATTTTGCTGACAGATAAGTAAAATTGTGAACGTTTTAATAGTTTTTCCCTTTTTCTGTAGTCGCCATGAGTGCGAGACAAAAGTATGAAGAGGTTAAGCCAGTCATAATTGATTCAAAATCTAAAGTAACATATCGCCGTGGAAATTTCTTGGGTAAAGGAGGATTCGCAAGGTGTTATGAATTTAAAAACACTAAAACAGGGGAAATATTTGCTGGTAAAGTTGTTTCTAAAAGCATGTTGGTAAAGCCTCATCATAGAGACAAAATGTGTCAGGAGATTACGATTCATAAATCCCTTTCTCATTTATACATTGTATCTCTGCATAGTTATTTTGAAGATGAAAGTAATATGTATATTATATTGGAACTTTGCCGGAAGCGCTCCTTAATGGAAATGCATAAGAGAAGAAAAACGTTAACTGTCCCGGAAGTTCGTTATTTTATGCGACAAATAGTATTGGCATGTAAATATATGCACGAAAATAAAGTGATTCACAGAGATTTAAAGCTCGGTAATCTCTTTATTAACGACGAAATGGAAATTAAAGTTGGAGATTTTGGTCTTGCAACTCGCCTTACTTTTGATGGAGAGAGAAAGCAAACACTGTGTGGAACACCAAATTATATTGCTCCTGAAATCATAACTAAAAAGGGTCATAGTTTCGAAGTTGATATATGGTCTCTTGGTTGCATAATGTATACTTTGCTTGTAGGTTCACCTCCATTTGAAACACATACTCTCAAGAATACATACCATAAAATCAAGAAATGTGACTATTATCTACCAACTAAACTGGATCACAATGCTCGACAACTTATCCAGAAGCTACTACATCCAGATCCTGAAAAGCGCCCAAGTGCAGAGGAAATTCTGATGGATGCTTTTCTTACAACAGGTTACATTCCATCTAAATTGCCAACTTCTTGTCTTACAATGCAACCTAGATTCACTCATAATATGTCTATATTTGAAGAATCTATAATTGAAAGAAAACCTTTGAAAGATGCTGGAAATAAAGCAATGCCATCAATTCCTGAAAAACTTATTGCTGCTACTCTTAAATTAGGAATTAATCCTCCAGATGAGGTACCAGCATCTGCAAAGCCAAAATCTGACTACATCTATATGCCTGAAACTACAATGCCTAAAGATTACCACTTAAGTGATTTATGCCAGATGCTTGCATCTGTAGTGAAGTGTAACCCTGAAAAACTTTATACTGGTCAGCCAGAAGATGCTCAGGATCCATCTGCAGTACCGTTTCTGTGGATAAGCAAATGGGTTGATTATACTGACAAATATGGACTTGGTTACCAGTTAAGTGATAACAGCATAGGTGTATTTTTTAATGATGCCACTCATCTTGTACTCTTATCTAATGGGGAAAATATGCAGTATATTGATAGAAATGATGAGGAGCAGTTTTTTACTATTACAAAATATCCTGAAGATATGAATAAAAAAGTTACACTTTTGAATTATTTCAATGGTTACATGACTGAAAATTTGGTGAAAGCAGGTGAAAATGCAAGAGCTCATCAAGAAGAAGATGAGATGACTAATGTTCCTCATGTTCGAGCTTGGTTCAAAACAAAATCTGCTATTATTTTTCACCTGACAAATGGAACTTTTCAAGCAAATTTCTTCAAAGATCACACTAAGATAATATTGTGCCCTCTCATGCATGCAGTGTCTTTCATCGATGAAGAGAAAAACTTTACTGTCTACACTTTCAAACTGATTGAGAAGTTTGGTTGCTGTCCTCTTCTAGCTTCTCGTTTGCGTTATGCAAAAAATATGGTAGAGAAGTTGTACAAAGATTACCTAAGCCCTGAAACTGCAGCTAAAGAACTGCTTCCTTAATATATCGATTTAGTTTGGAAAAAAAATCTAGATTTTTAGGTATTTTTATGGTTTTTTTTTTTTATAATGAGACGGGAGATATTTTTAATGATTACCATTTTTAATGAGGTGTTTATGCTATTTCTTTATATGTTTTACTACCCTTATAGCTACTGTAATATTTCTAATTTTATTACACAGTATTTTTTAATTAAATCACTTCTTTATTTTTGTATATTCATAATACTTTCCCCAGTATCGCAGGATTTTGACAGAATATTAAAATTTTATCATATTTCATTTTTAACTAATATTTGCAAGCTAAAATGTATTGTCTTATGAGTATTTGTATATGAACATATTTATAATTAAAAATGTATTCGATTTTGTTTAGCTTACACTAAAAATGGGAGATAAAATTTATGTTAAAGACACAATTTTGATGTAAATTTTCTGTAAAACATATACAAATGTTTTTAGTGTGAATAACAGCAAATGTATTATTCAGACTGAAAAATTCAGTCCTATATTTTAATGTTTGAACCTCTTCTTTATTTAAAAAACAAATATGGTATAATTTTTATTACAAATATCTTATAATTTGTAATGAAAATGTTAAAATAATGGTTCAAAAAAGTAATCTACAATTTTTAATTCTAGTGTGTACCAATCCCTTTTCTGTGCAGGTAAAGAAATGATCCATTGAATATATATATATGTTTAGTAAAGATGCTAAAAAAATATTTAAAAAAAAAAACTGACCCTTTTTCAAAAGAAAAAGGTATGAGGGATGGATGGATATAACTATATTAGAATTGCTGGAAGTATTAAAATTATATTTTTAGTATTTTAAATATATTTTATTCTTCATTATAAGTACTCTATTCTTTGGAATGGCTGGAATATTTTGTTGAAAATATCTTTTCAGTGAATTAAGTTTAGTAATTCCTGTCTCTTACAGTAAACAGTTTTTCGAATTAATTTTATACTTCTTTATTAAAACGATCACCATGCTTAGTTGTTCAAACTGGCAAACTTTCATTGGCAAAATTTGCATAATGCAAATTTTAAATACTACCAAAGGATTATTTAAAGTGAAAATCTTTCAAAAAAATTTTTTTTAAGTATCATGGAATTAAAAATTTTAATCTGTAATATTTCCTTTTAGGTTCTTAATACAGTTCTAAAAATTTTAATTTTATGGACTTTTTAGAACTTTGAACTAATTTATTTTTTTGTTTATGGTATTCAAATTTTTTTCCCCAAGTTTTCATTTTGATAATATTTGCTAAAAGTTAAGGTCCCCATCAGTTTTCCCTATGTGTAACTTAAATACAAGGCCGTTTTACTCAGAAACTTCTCCACAAAGACATCTCTCCTGTTAGGCTAAGTCTTTGTGGCTTTCCCATTTTCAAGTAACCTAACTTAATACTACATATATAAAAACATTTACCAAATTCTGAATTAAAATGTTTTTAATTAACTAGAAAGTACCTTTGCAATATATGCAAAATAAAATTGTCATATTTGTAAAATAAATGTATACAAATTAATTTTCTGTAGCTGCCAACTGTCCCGGTTTTTAATTTAAATGGTTTCACAGTAATACAAAAATATTGAATTAGTAAAATTTAAATTAGGCAAATTGTATTCTTGCCACCTGTATTGATTTTCAGAATATTTTTTCGAATTAAACCATTTCATCTAAATTATACTTTTTTATTATATTTTTATTGATCTTAAGTTTCATTAGATCTGAATATCTTAATTTACTGCAGAATTCATAGATTTTTATATGAAGATTCAATCAATGTTTAATTAGTTAATATTTGTATTTAATTTTATTTTACTCCAGTATATTGTACATTAATAAGTTTATCCATGCAAATACTGTGTCCAAGAATTATTAGTTTTATTTTCATCCTATTTAAAAATATTTTGATAAATAATAGTTTCACTATTTGGGATTTTCTCAATAAAAGATTGTGTAAGAAAATTAAAAAAAAAAAATAAAATAGTCAAAGAAATAAAATTTATATGAAACTAATGGAAGGCTAATATATTTTATATCGGAATTGTATTACAAATAGTTCAATAGTTTGTATGCATTACAAAGTGACTTAAAATCAATTTAGAATTAATGTGAAAAGATGTGGTAAAAGTATATTTACGAGTACCCCTTTGGTGATTTTTGATGGTACATGGATACCAAGTTTGTGCGATTCTTTGACTTGTTATTTTGACTTGCGTAGCGGTGATTTTTGCACCAAAAATTGGCGCTGCACAAAGCCAAACTAACAAGACAAAGAATTGCACAAACTTGGCATTGCGCACTCCTTTTATACATGCTGACCTATTTTCACTTAAAAAACATCAAATTGCACAAACTAGGCATTGCACACTCCCTTCACTTTGTCCATGTACATATCGAACTATATTCACTTAAAAAACCAAAGGAGCAGCCAATAAAAAAATATATAATCTCAATAAACTACATTTTAAATCAAACAATGAAATAACATAAAGGAAATTCATTTTTGCACTACATAAAGGAAATATCCACTTACCTTATTTACGAGTTAACACATAAAAAGTTCCTAAAATTATCTGAACTAGAATATATATATACTGGTGTTGACACATAAATTCACAAAATAAGAGTAAAAAAATATCCTCCATAGCGCCATATTGTCTGGCCATACGCATTTCCTTCCTACAAACAGGACACTTAATAATTCCTACTAAGTAAACGTTCATTTACACACCAGTCAAGTAATGCTCTTTTGCCCTTTCTTTCCAAATCGTACAGAAATTTCAAATAACAACTTACCACATTCAGCCCTTATACAGGGTTTGTACGGTCCTTAAAAGTCCTTAAATTTTTTTAAATCGATTTTTGGTCCTTAAAAGTCCTTAATTTTGGCCAAAATCAGTAGAAGGTCCTTAATTTTAATCATCTGAAATTTCTCTCTGTTTTTACGACTGCCATTTTTGAGTGTGAATTAGAATTTTGGTGAAATATTTTTGGCAATTCACTGACATATATGGTTATCTTTTGAATGGGTTCATGGGTTATAATTTGTTTCTATTTCTAACATAAATGATGGGATACTCGAGTTTCTAAGCAAGAAGTGAAACATAAACATTTCAAAATTCATTTTTTTCTAATAAAGAGCTCTTAAACAATTTTTCGCTTTTGGGGTTGTGAATTCTTTTATTAAATGGTTAAAAATTTGACAAGTTGTCATCATTTTGGAGATTTTAAGATCAGTTTCTATAGAAAATTTTTAATTCCGAGATCTGAGAATTTTTCGGCGATTTTTTTAAAACATCATAACATTGATAAATTTCATTAAATAATGGTAATATATTGAGAATTATATTTAAAAAATAACATTAAAATAAAAACATTTTTATTTTTCGCTGTCATATTATAAAGTTTCATTTTGGCAACTTATTATACAATATTTTAAATCTGAAAATAAACAAGGTATATAGCTATAAAGCATAATTTATGAAACAGCTCTTAGTAAAAGCAAAATTAGCTATGTAATTAATTAAAATGTCTTCTTTTTAATTTTTTCATAGTAAGCATTTTTCCCATGTAATTGTCTCAGATTATTCAAAATTCTCAGAATATGCATCAGTTTTCTCTATAAAATTAATTTTACACTTTTTCCTTCCTTTTTTTTTTTTTCAAAATATCTCTGGCTTTTTGCTGTTACAGAATTGGTTGGGATAATTTTTCTTTAGTATTTTTGACTTTGCAGCATGGAAAAGTTTTAGAAGGTTTTAAAGGCTAGATTTATAGATTCACGATTCTAGAAAATTTGATAAATATGTGACAAAATGAAAAATGTCTCCATGGTATCAACACATAATGGATGCATTTTACAGAAAGTTTGCGATGAATTTCTTACTTTTTGGAGAACGTCTGCAAGAACAATGGAAACATAATATTTGAATGTTTTACTCCTGATACTAGAATTTTTTTTCTTAACGTGTTTATCTTCTCTTTATTTTCTCTACTTTTCACTAGACAAAAGCATGGAAAATATCAAAAATGCTTCTAATCTTATAACTTGGGCAGGCATTACAGAAAGAGATTTTTTTATTAATAAAGAAATTGAAAACTTACAATTTAAAATATTCATCTAATGTGTCTAGATGCATCGTACACAGAGCTGGTGCTATGCATTTTCCCACCTGATGCAATCTCTATGTATCCTAAATTCTGCTGCCTAGTGCCTATCTAAATTCTGCTTCCAATGCCTGCTCTAAATTCTAAAAGTTTTGCCATTTCTAGATTTTGTTGTTTTGTGTGTCACTAAATTCTAAAAATTCTGCCACACCTGCTGTGTAACCGGCCTTTACCATATATATTTCATATTTTCTTCTGAATGTTCATATTACTAAAAAATTAAATTCGCTGCTTTTTCTGTACTTTCTAAATGCATTTAGTGTTTTTAGAATAACAGAAATCCTTAATTAAATCCAAAAATTCTAAAATTAAAAGGAAACACGTTGTAGAAAGAAACCGGATACATAAAGAAAATTATTCTTCAAAGATATGTGCAGTTATTATTATGTAAATTACCTAATTGTTTATCATTTCAGCCTTTACTATAATTTCCCATTTTTGTTTCCTCATATGATAGAGTTACTGAGCCAGATTAAATTAAAATTAAAGTGTATTTGACCACTAGTCCACCATTTTAGTTTGAATTTGACTGTTCTTGTTTAATTACGTCGCCATGAGCTGTAGTTGACTTTGTTAGCATCAGAACATGCCTTTATGTTCTAAGTTTTTTTTATCTGATATTGTAGTTACTTTCAGATGCAGTGATAATTTGCTTCACGTCTATTGGGGGGGGGGAGGCTATTTAACTTTTACCAGATCAAGTAAACTCTCATAGGTACATTGTGGAGAGGTTGACAAATTAGGAGATAAAGTACACAGAAACTAGCGAGAACATTGGTTTGCATATTGAGACAAATTTCTAATTATTGTCAGAAAAGATCGATAATTAAAGAGAAGAAAATCGATATAAACTAGCCAAAATGTTTGGGGCTTGTAGAGACATTAGGTATTTTTGAAAGCAGGAAAGAAAAAGAATTAACAATGCCTTCGCCGGGAATCGAACCGCGGACCTCTGGAATACCGCTACAAGTGTGCAAACCACTACACCACGAAGGGTCACCAAGAAGGTGGAAGAAATACCTTATATACTCCCCCTTTGAAATGGCAACTGGGGTTTTTAGGGAATCCAATCATCAAAACCTTTGTGTGGAGAACCCATCAAGTAGCCATCACCAATCAAATAACCATCAACACCATCAAGTAAAACTTATTCTTTGCATCTACTGAGACTTATATATAAAACAACTTTTCACCTCTGGGGCTTTAATGGCTTATTGGAACCTTAAAGTATATTAACTGGGTTACAGCCCCTTTAACTCTACATAAAGCTATGACATTAACTGCATTAAGCAGAGCTTGGCTAACTTCAACACTTGCCAACTGTGCCTACATCAGGCATTTCAGTTTTGTTTCAATCAGCAGGTCTCTCTATAGACAAGCAGCAGAGGGACAACATTGTCTTTTGTTATGAATCATGCTGATTATGATCTCACTTCTCATTTTAACGTATGTCGTTTGACATAAAATCTCCCTACTATTTGCTAAATCTCTAGACTGACTAAGTATGTGACAAAATTAGACATTTAAAAAAAAAAAAAAAAAAGCATGAAAGCTAG